GACGGGGGAGGGGGAATACTGGGGGCGTCCGGCGGGCGTTTTTTTACCTACCACTAATTAATTGCGGTAAAATCGTCACTCAAACAATAGACGGTATTTGGGTTCTGTATATTAAGATAGCCTAGTCGGGTAACAGGTCTAGTGTTGGGTGTTGGACAGGTTGACTGTTTGTGCTTGTGTATTGTTGCCCAAAAAGGTGCCTGCGGGCACGGTAACAATACACGCTGCCTGGTGTACCTGGTCGAATGGGATTCTTGACTGATTGATTCCCTCCGCTGGCAAACTTTTTATTAGTGGTGGAATTAATCGAGCGAGGTATTTTAATACTGGGCGCAACGATTGAACCACGGGGGAGTTTTCCCAAACCGGGGCGCAGCGCGCCCCGTTGCGCCACGAGGAAGAACCCTGCTGTGGTACCTACCATTATTGCTTAAGTACCAGCAATTGGTATAGAGTAACGATAAAATGTCTTAGAAACTCGTATTCCACCAAAACATGCACGATTTACAATGTTTGTTTACTGGATTTGGTTTCTGATTGCTATCTCTTTCGGTACTTTCCGCAGTAGCGCGAGAGCATCAACCAGGGTCGCAGTAATGGCAAGATAATCAGCACCAACAGAAACTGCAGTCAGAGTGCAAACACAGAGGTTCATACCTAGCCGTAAACGGAGTATAGTACTAATGCCCTGTAAAGTCCTGTTATTAGAGAAACTTGTGAAATTACCAGTCCATATAGTAACACGGGAATAAGACAGAAAAGTGCGCTGAATTATTGACATAGACAAGTGCCGGCGGAGCGACAGCCGCTCATTGTCTAACGTCTACTGCGGTGACTCTGTGTGGAGTGGTGGGGATTCTATCGTAAACACCTGTTAATGCCCCAAATGTGGTCACATACATGCCGGACAGTGGAAGGCACAGGGATGTGTATCAAGGACCTTCTCAAAGGAATGTTCGTCTGGGATCGTTAGAAACGTTGCCACGAGATGGCCGCGTACGTTAAGTGTCTTCAGATTAAAGATGGAATCTCATCCGTACGTAGTAGTAACAACTATTTCAAGACAGAATAGGTAAGCAGACATCATTTACCTACGCAACCTACAGGCTGAAATATAGAGCTGCCACCCTGTAACTATTAAACGCAGGCAAAAACTACACAGTACCACCACCATCATGCACTGGCAACTGGCAGGGCCAGCTAGGCAGTGAGCATAGAAAAAAAAAAACAAACATTACAGGTAACACACTGACCAGTACAGAATGGCACATAGAATTAAACTGACGCATTAAGGAGCATAAACTTCTTCAAAACCCAATTAGCTTTTGAAAGTTTCACTGTGCACATGAGCCTCACCTACATCCAGGCATCGTATACAGATTCTACTAGCAAACCCTGCAGTCAATTCTTTCTAAGCAGTAAAGAAATCCATGTTTAACCCGCCCCTTAGGTCTACAAGGTTATCCGACACTTACTCTTCGCATGTCAGCCTAAATTACATTTCATGGTCCTTTCTAATAAAGCCATAAAAATCCTAGGTCACCGCTGAAGACAAAAGTTTTCAATCGCATCCTCAGACCATGTCTCAGAAATGTCTAAAATCTGGCCCGCTGTGCCTCATTGACATTTTGACGCTGTGACCTCCAATTCGGCAAAGCGTGATGGATTTTCCTAAACCATGACGCTTGTACACCGGACTCATCACAAGCCTAGTTCGACGCCGTTTAGATTTTGCCGCATTCGGCATTTCGTCCCTATAACCTTCAATAAGGACGTGAACTCTGTCCCCTTCTTTACAGGAGCGCGTGCGGACCTTTTGACCTTTGACCCCCAGTTTCGAACATCCCAACTCGTTTTCGATACTCGCCCCCCCACGTCCCCATATCGGACGCGTACATCGACATTTAAGATTTGTCCCAAGACTGTTGACGGACCGCTGACGCTCGCACCGGACGCGACCGATCATGGCGATTCTTACAGCGTGCATCTGACTATTCAGAATGAGCTAAATAAAAATTAAAAGATTGCCATGTAGCCTATTGGTCTAATGTCGAGAAATCAAACAAGCGTTCACTAAACCGCACACATGTGTAAGCGTTTGTAACATATCTTAGACACAAAATAGATACCTAGGTATAGGTCACTGCACAAATCGATATCATAACAAAGTCTTTGAAATGGACCATTGCGTCCGTCATTTGTAACACGAAAATGCACAAAATCTCCCTTCTGTCCCGTGTTTTTCATATGATTCATGAATATATTTTTGTGGGCCGGGGTTTGCATAACTTCAGGGAGTAAGATAATAGATCAGATAATGAGATAGATAGATAGATAGATAGATAATGAGATCGTTCCTATTATCCTTACTCCTGATACTATTTCTATGTGTACATGGCTTGAGATAACAGTTCATCTACGACTAAATCTCAATTTCCAATGTCCAGTATTTTCAGCTGATTACGTACAAAGCATGACACTGTGCGAAATATCGCACACCGACGTGCGACGCTGAGTGAAACTGTCTGCGCGAAGTATCGACACGATCGCGTCATCGCGAGTCACCACTGTGACGAAATATCGAGAACGACGCGGATCGACCGCGAGTGATCTACTGTGACGAAATATCGACACCACGCGACCCGCGCGTGACACTGTGACGAAATATCGCACGACGCTGCGACAGCGAGTCACAACTGTGACGAATACCACACGACACACATTCGCGAGTGACAGACTAGTGACGAAATATCCACACGAACGTGCGACCGCGAGTGACACTGTGACGAAATATCGACACGAACGTGCGACGCGAGTGACCACTGTGACGAAATAGTCGACACGTACGTGCGACGCCGAGTGACACCTGTGACGCAATATCTCACACGACCCTTCGGCGAGTGACCACTGTGACGAAATATTCGACACGCACGTGGCGAACGGCAGTGACACCTGTGCGCGAAATATCCACACACGACGCGCTTCTCGCGAAGTGACACTGTGGCCGAAATATCGACACACGTGCCGACGCTGAGTTGAACACTGTGACGCAAAATAATCGACACGGACGTGCGTCGCGAGTGACCACGTGGACGTGGGTCCGGAAATAGTCGAAACCGCCGGACGCGATTATCATTAAACATAGAACGATAAAGAGACAGATGCAATAGTACTGAGTTTGCTATGCAAAATGTCTTTAGGTACAATCTACATTACACAATATACGTGTGCGCGACGAGAAATAGGATACTATTTTAGGCCAATAGTATAGATGATGCATGCAGTACAAGGGGGGCAATAGGGTTTAGCCGCGAATTTTTTTTTTTTTTTTGTCAGCAGTAGTCGCGCAGCATTAGCAGAGTTGTTACACGCGCGTTTCTTGGTCCGGATCCACGGATACTCGATCCGATTGACTTCGGCTGATGCTGACTCGTTTGTTTGGGCGCATGCCTTGATCTCGACAATTCGCATATATATATCGCAATAGCAGTCGATAAAAGTTTCTCCGACTGTTCCGCTGGCAGCTATGGATCGGCGCGCACGGGCAACCGGACCGCTATCATCGGCGCACAGATTCATAGCTGCCACCGCTCCAAGTACTTTCGAACAGACGTTCCGCGCGCGCGGCCGCCTACGCGCTCCCGCGGAATCTGCGGCGCAAGGACTCCCCGCTCTAGGCGGTTACGATCAGCAGCACCCTGTCCTCAGGAAGACTTCTCTGTGATATCCCGTCCTCAACTGACAAAAGACTTAGAGTAAGAGTCTATGAGCGAGAGAGTCGACCACCGACCACGGCACTTGGACTTCTCAAGTACTAAAAAAATTATGTAAACACGAAATGTATTTACGACCATCTTAAACTGTTTCTCTAATCTGTATTTCGCTATATTTGCCGATAATTACCGCGTAAATCCCGTCAAATCGCTCAACTGCAACACACAATACACCACACACAGACCCTCGCGCACTGCTGCACAACACACATGAATAAGAGTAGCAGGTAGGAAAGCGTGATCAGGTCAAAATCCGCTCGCGTGCACGTGCACATGTGTGTGCATGCATGTATGCGCACGTGTGTGTGCATGTGTGGGTGTACTGCTGCAGGTGGCTGTTAATGTCAATTGTATTAGAGTAAATTTAGTATAATGTAGTTTTCTGTATCAGATATATTGCACAGTTATGTATGTAGCATGTTCAGGTGTGCAGCTCTGAAAAGCATGAGAACTGTCGTTAGAATACCTCCTCAGTTTGTTATATTTATGCAGATTTCTAGTCGAGCATTTTGTAATCTTATCATCTGCATTTGTTGTCATAGTTTAGTTTAATAAACGTTAACTTTTATACAATTTCCAGGCTTACAAGCATGTTGTGAACGATATCAGTGTTTTCAAACTAGAGCTTCCAACAAAGCAAAAAGGGTGAGAAGGCATTAGCTAATCCATATTCAATCATATAATATTCATTATAATCAAGAGCCCAATAAATAATACCAAGTAGTGTGAGTGCACTCTTGGTACGATGGCTATATTAAATGGCAATGAGCACCTATAATCAGGCGTCTGTGTTGTGCTTGTGACCATTTCTCGTGCATAATGGCTTCCCTTTATCCATTCTCCTCCCCTGAACGCACACAGGATACAGAACAAGACGCAGCCAGAGTCTAAGTGTCCGGAGCTTCTTGCCAACTTCTGCGACATGCTGCTGAGAAAGACGCCTCTCAGTAAGCGACTCACGTCCGACGAGATCGAGGGCAAGTTAAAAAATGTGGTACGTGTCGCGTCGTGGCCACTGCCAGTAGACTGTAGTGCGAGTGTTACTGTAGTAAGTAGTGTGGAAGCATAGACTAGTGGGGGTGTACAAGGTAGTGAGATTGTAGGGAATAGTACTAGCATGGGTGTTTGGAATTTTGTGGATATATGGAGTAATGCAGATGCACAGAGCAGTGCAGATATATGGATTAGTGCGTTACCTGTTTCTTGGGAAAGAGGTTCAGTGATATATTTAATGTAATTAATTGTGTAGGGAGTAAACACACAAATGATGTGAAAATGAAGAGGACGCCTGGAATGTGTTGTGATTATGAGGAGATGTCAGTGATCAATGGTCCCCTAGGTGCAGTTAATCTTAGTATGTTAAATATGTAAAAATTCCAAATAAGTTGTGCTAGGAATGTAAAGATGGCACTGACATTCACTGTAGGGAAATCTGCTCCTTTGGGTTTTCATGACGCCTCACTCGGTATTGCTCCTTACGTTACGAGTGGCCTATTGGTTTTCTGCAGCTACTAGTGCTCAAGTATGTACAGAATAAGGACGTCTTCATGCGGTATCACAAGGCCCATCTGACAAGAAGGCTTATTCTGGATACGTCAGCCGACAGTGAGAAGGAGGAGAACATGGTGGAGTGGCTCAGGGTGCGTCCAAGCTGAAGTTACTTTATTGTGATTGTTGTGTATATATATATATATATATTATATCAGCGTTCGAAATAAGGAAAATCTTTTACAATATACAATATATTTTTGTAGGGGTGTAACGATATACCGGTATATCGGTATATTGCAATATATTTTGAAAACTCGATATATTGCGATACAACTTCCGGATATCGATATTTTACGATACGGTGGTAAAACAAGAAATAAATTACTTGACACTTGCCTTTATGTCTATATTGTTAATGGGCTCGAAAATTATGCACTGGCAGTGTATATATTACGAAAGCACAATGCCTGCACGACGCATACAGTATTACTGGTAAGCGAGCACTGCATGGAGCACTGCGCGAGTGCGCGGTACTACTGCTCGGGCAGAGTGGGGCAGCGAGCACGTCAACCAGGGAGTCTATATGTAGCCTATGCTCACCTGAGTGCCCGCGCGCGCGATACAAGCTGAAGCGAGCACCCACTGTTTCAGTTTCAGTTTCAGTTTCAGTATCCAGTATTAGCCAATTATGCAGCAGGGGTATTGTGTATTCCAGCCACGTCAGTGACTTCCGAGAGGGTATTCAGTACAGCGGGTGACATTGTTACGGCACAGAGGGCTGCACTGTCAGCGCAAAACATTGCCGTGCTTATGTTACTCAAGAAAAACATGAGAAATTAAATCATGTCATATAAAGCCGAGCAAAAAATGACCTTTGGTTCGGGTCACCCGCCCGCACTTCACATTTCGGAGTGAAAAATGTGCGACTGCGGTCACTTTTAGAGGGTTTCAAGAAAAAATAAAATTCAATTAGATACCGCCTGCCGATCATACATATTAAAATATCTGACTCTTGTCATTTTATTTACCTAAAGATAGTTCCAAAATATTTCTCCTACAACGTGAAACAGTCGTCAGAGCCTGGTCGTATAGAGCCTGGGCCGGCTACTTCATAAACAGAGCCTGAAGGTCGTATGGCGCGGCGGCCGGCTTTGATGTACGCGATCGATCGCGTACTATATAGTATATGCATGCTATCGTGCTATACGCGGCCGCAGAGCCGGTGCCGCACACGCTGTGGAACGCGCTGCGCCACATGGACGATGGCGCAGCGCATTCCACAGCGTGTGCGCATGCAAAATGCATCGATCTGTGGCGTGTGGAAAATATGATGCATAGGGTTAAATTATGTAATTGAGTGGCAAAGCAGGCTACAACCCTTTTGCAGCTTTTTCACAATTCCAATTTTTGCTTGTCTTGATTAATAACATAGAAATATAGTAAATGTGTAATACATTTAATCAAATTAAACTTTAGACCCCTTCACTAACAGTTCAGATTAGGCACCAAACTTGAAAGAACGTAAAGAAGCACAATTATTTATTTTAAGTTATTACTTGTCTAGTTGTATTGAGTCTAGTCTAGTTGAAGCGATCATAGAAAATGATAAAAAATTGCTCTAAAAATTTGCTCTAAAAAGCTGCTTGTCCAGCGGACAAGCTACTGGACAGGTCTACTTGTCCTCCGTGGAAATGGACAAGTGAGGACAAACGGATGGCCCTTATTTCGAACACGTGACTGTATATATATATATATATATATTCTACATTCATGCTGTTCAATACAAGTTACAAGTTTTTCATTGTGAAAAAATATACTCGTGTGTACATTTTTGTATCCCTGGCAGACCAATCCAGTAGTAAAGACTTGTTTGTTTGGCTGTAACACCAACATGACCAAGATGTATATATCACAATTATTGATTTTAACTCGTTTGAATTCAATTCCGACTCGATATGCTAGACATCCAAAGTGTGCATCGCCTGTTTTCTTCAGGAAAACTCTGTGACATGAAAATGGTTTGTTTCTGAAGGTTTTTGCTTTCATGAAATTTCACATCTGTGTGTTTCAGGAAGTTGGGATGCCAGCAGATTTTGTAAATAAATTGGCTCGGATGTTCCAAGATATTAAGGTTAGCCAAACTCTGAACCAGGAGTTCAAGGATGCATTATATCTAAATAGCAAGGAGATCATCGCAGGTAAATACGACTTGCCAGCAGCTTAATATAAGGAGTAATAATCCTCAAAGGAGTAATTGTGCATGATTAGGATTTGATCTTGCATTTGATCAAAGTAAGTCATTACGATACCGCCAATGTGACCAACTTCAAGTAATTTGACTGAATTGACCTATTTGTCTGGAGTGACAGACAGGTAATGTTAGCCAATCATTGTTGTGATGGGTCCTTCTTAAAACGCTGCTTAGTAACAAAGTGCCACAATGTTGACAGTTTGACGTGCCCACGTGGAAAATGCATATAAACTGGTCTAGTTTAACCCGACCTATCAATGACATCCAAGGAGCATGGTTATCTCGCTCGCATAGACAGAACAATTGCTAAACTGCGGGTCCATGTATACTTCACGGTGCTTCATTCTGTTGTGCGCAGATTATGTAAATATCAAGATCTTGAACGCTGGAGCGTGGATGAGGTCAAGCGAACGAGTGCCAGTCTCGTTGCCACGGGAACTGGAGGACTACATCCCGGAGGTTGAGGAGTTCTACAAGAGGAAACATAACGGCCGGAAGCTGCAGTGGCATCATGTCATGTCCAACGGCATTGTGAGCGTTAGCGGTAGAGTTAAAGATAAATTGACTACGTCACGAATTTTCTATGGTGATACTTATAAAAAATTTGTTGCCATTTTTAGCTCACTTTGACATCATCAAGATGAGCTATTGCCATGGGGTGTCAACCGTCTGTCCGTCAACATTTGGCTACGGTCAACGATAACTCAAGAACCGTTTGACCCACATGTTTCAAATTGCATATAGTTGTTACTCATATGGGAGAGGTTTGAACGTTGTATTTTGGAGCACGCTAGTCGACCTACTTTCGAGCCACGTCCCCTTTTTGACAAAAATGGAAATGGCCACAAGTCAGTTCAGGTTCAATGGATTTTGCTCATTTCTAGTATGTCAATGAATAAGGACTGGCCCCAAAACATATCACACGGGTTTTGATATTTTTTTAAATTATGCAAATTAGGTAGATTTTGGCAATTTCACTATGCATTTCAGTGTCTGCCTACGGTCAACGATAACTCTGCCACAAAACAGTTGTTACTCCTATCGGAGAGATGACAACGTCCTATTACGTTTATTTCGTCTAACTGGTCAGCAACTCTACAATCATACCTATATACGTGTAATATTGTGTTTTAGATTCTTCGTTACACTAATTTGACTGGAATATTTTATTGTTTTTATTTGCGCGATATTCGAAAACCAAAATGGCGATCATTTAGGCATAGCGCCATCTCTCGTCAAGATTTCAGACTTTCAGATCCGAAACATTTATTTTCGCATCAAAACTTGTGCATATATCATTATCAAGAGTATATAATGGGAGATATGCTATATAATGGGAGTTCTCCCATATATACTCTTGCTTTATATATCCCCCCTCCCTATTCTATCACACCCAAGGTGAGCTACAGTGTCATTGACACTTTCATTTTACATTAAAAGTAACTACTAATGGTACTAAATGTATCTTCAAATTCTTACCTGATAAGATTGTTTCTCAACTAGTTAAAAATCCAAAAACCTGGACGATTTGATATTATGATCCTGACATTAATTGCTTGCTATGGGCTATGTATGAGTCACGAGTGTATGTTTACATCGAACAATATAGTAAAATAGGAAGTATAATGCAGCAATTTAACCATAAAAAGTGAACAGAATTACTTGCATTTTGTGAAAAAGTGGAAATATTTTTTTTAGTTTTACTACTTACGGTGACGTAATCTCGGTCATAGTTACGTACCGTGTGCGAGAGATTCATACACAGCGCATTGCAGATTATGATATGAGCGAATCGTGGCGCTTTTGTAATTTTTGTAATGTGCTAATGAAGTAGGCGGTGGTCTGAGTGACCGTGTAAACGAAAGGAGGTGTCTATAGTTTAAGGGAACTTTATTGCAGCTGAATTGCGTGCTACCTTCATATGCTGTATTCTAGTACTGACTCATGTTAGCATGAGGGTAGTAAACGATATATTAACAAACCATCACAGGATTTTAATTCCAGAATAATTAATTATCCATCATATTGTCTATTTCATAGCTTTTAAATTATGTAATGTTGTAAATTTTCAATACACTGAAGAAATTTATTGTTTCATTTTATCTCCATTAGATCACATTCTGCAATGAAGTAGGCAGATTTGACCTGGAGGTCACAACCTTTCAGATGGCTGTAGTTTTCGCGTGGAATCAGCGGCCAAAGGACAAAATTACGTTTGAAAACCTGAAACTTGCAACTCAACTACAGGACATTGAGCTGCGGAGAACGTTATGGGTATAATTACTCTCTACCCTATTATTATATAATCTGTGTAATAACCAACTGACCAGATTAATTTTTAACCTTGGTCTATAATAGGTGCATATTTAATAATATATTTATAATTTGTCATATTCCTGTTTGATATGAATAGTAGCAGAAGTCTACTATCTCAAGACAGCTCACTTCCTGGCATCATTGAGCTGTTATTTAGTTTTAAAGAGTCCGAATAATGAGATTAAGTCAAAACAACTAGTTCATTGCTAACTGTATAGCTCAACGTCATCAAACAATAAGCTAGCCGAATCTACATGCAGTTGGATGGGCAACGTGTAGATACAGTTATAGTTTTGTTCTTAACATCGTGGCTGTGTTACTTTGTTTCAGTCATTAATAGCCTTCCCGAAGATAAAGCGGCAAGTAGTCCTTTGTGAGCCCGAAGCGAGATCTCCAAAAGACTTTACGGATGCAACTCTTTTCTGGATCAATCAAAAGTTTGCGTTAGTGTGAGTAGCTCGCGTTATTCGTGCGAATATTCGAAGAGTGTGTTATCGTTAACAAAATAGTGGAAGTGAGACATTGTGGCCTTGTGCGATGACCGTAGAAAACACTGTAAGAATGTTGCCATTGACGAAATCCAGTAGAGCATGAGACTGGGGGCGACTGCGTGTTGTAACGTGTCGGTTTCCCGCTCTGTTGCAGAAAGAACGGTAAGATGCAGCAGCGTGGGAAGATCAACCTGATCGGTCGGTTGCAGTTGTCTACGGAGAAGAGCAAAGAGGAAGACAACGAGGGCATTGTGCAGCTCCGCATTCTGCGAACTCAGGTATGAGAGTGTCGTCAGCATACCTGACACCCTGTTGGTGGTGGGGGGATAGACTGTTAGAGATCACTGGGAGAAACGATCGTCCTCGGATGCATGACGTGGGTAGATTGTCGTCTGCGTAGTCGTCGGGCACAGTGTTGTCAGAAACAAAATTGGTCTTAACATTAATCTTAGGCCATAATAAAAATATAGTTTGTTTGCCCTCACCCGACCGACCCGCCAAAAAGGGGCCGACTCAAAATTGTTATTGATTCTTCCCATTTTTTTTTTACAAATTGTATCACTGTGCATGATATAAATCTGTAGGCAATACATAATGATTATATGTACCAAGCAAAACAAACATTCAACATAAAAAGTATCTCCACACAAGCACACCCGTGCATGTAGACACCATGTTGAATTTGTAAAATGACCACCCCCCCAAAAAAGAAAAAAAAGAAAATAGCCTACCTACCTACCCAAACGTTTCAGCCAGGGTCGGGTGAGGGCAAACAAATATTTTTTTAATTGTGGCCTTAGAGTTAACTTTTTTCTCGTAGACCGTACTTCTATACACTGTGTTTGAGAAATTGGTAACTTTGCTGTGTTTCTTTCAACGAGAATGTTATGACTAATCTTGAGACTAATTTTGTTTCTGATAGCTGGCCCGTGGTTACGGATGATGTGTGTAGAGCTCGGGTGTGTGTGAGCCTGGGGTGAATGCCTTCGTGTGTAGGGAAGTAAAGGAAATGCTGTGTGGTTTTACCTAGGAGCTAGCTCGTTAAACATATCCACAAGAAACAACTTTTTTTTTGCAATATTACACGATGATGGCAGGTATTAAAAGGTTTGTGTCACCGACTTCTTTTTGGTCACGTGGCCGACTAGATAACAACTGCAATGCTAAGGGCATAATAAAAATATTGTTTGTTTGCTCTCACCCGACCGACCCGCCAAAAAGGGGCCGACTCAAAAATTGTTATTGATCTTTCCCATTCTTTTTTTTACAAATTGTATCACTGTACATTATAAAAATATGTAGGCAATACATTATATGTACCATGCAAAACAAACATTCAACATTAAAGTATCTCCACACAAGCACACGCGAGCATGTTGGCACCATGCTGAATTTGTAAAAAGACCCACCCTCAAAAAAAAGAAAAAAGCCTACCTACCTACCCAAACCTTTCAGCCTGGGTCGGGTCAGGGCAAACAAAGATTTTTTTAACTGTGGCCTAAGCGAGAGTCACGTGGCCAACTAGATAACAACTGCCATGCTAAGCAGGAGTTGTCGCATTTCGTTTCAGGAGGCGATCGTTAAGATAATGAAGATGAGGAAGAAGATTACGAATGCGCAGCTGCAGAGCGAACTCGTCGAGATTCTCAAGAACATGTTCCTTCCCTCCAAGAAGATGATCAAGGAGCAGATTGAGTGGCTCATCGAGCACAGGTACATGCATCGTGATGAGGACAACATCAATATGTTCATCTACATGGCGTAGTCGGTGCCGTCTCGGCTGCGAAGGTAATGCCCTCCGGTGTAAAATACTCAACTGCTGCTGCCCAGTGCCTGCCATGGGTACCAGACACAAGGAGAGAACATAGATGGCTACACACACTCTATCACTAGTCGCTTTTAGACTCTGTTTTAAAGTGACTCCAGGGTGTACAGTAGCTCCATGCGGTGCGATATGGTATGGCACGGTATGGTAAGACACAGTATGGTATGGTGCGAGACGTTACAGTGCGATATGACACGGTATGGTGCGGTACGATACTGTACCGTATGGTATGTTATGGTACAGGATAATACGATATGGTATGGTACGGAGATGGCCCATGGTCTGATTCTAAACTCCAGTTAAGTTAAAATCTAGTTTAAAATTAAATTTCCAAATTTCTGCTAATGGTTGGTGGATAGCTTTTGGTCTCTTTGCCTTTTAATTTACTTGTATTCACTACGATTGAGCGAGACTGATATTTTATATCTAGTATTACTGGCGTTTTTGTTTTAAACCGGTGCATCATTGAAACTAGCTAATTTGATATGTCATTGCAATTTTGATATAATGAAAATATGTGTTTTACTGTGTTGATGTTTCGCATTTTGAAGGAAAGAATGAGTTGTCAGATACAGACTTACGATGTCTTGAACTTGCAGCTGTTGCAGTATAATTAGATACACAGTAAATTATTTGCATAAACCTTGCTATAAACTTAATCAAATCGCACTAAACAGTTTAGCCTGCCTAATTGACTGTGGATATCATCTCGAGATCACAGTAGCTTAACCATTCGATGACTGCTGGATCACAGAATCTGTTGTAATGTTGCGTAACATGTCTTTCCGTTCAGTGAAGATGGTGTCAGTTATTACGCTAACGTGTCATGCAGGAGTCTTCACATTTCTTCATGCGATACACAGAGTGCCTCACTACCACTGCATGCTATTGTCTGTGTACTGGAGGTAAATTACCTAAAGGTGTATTGTAACCATTGAGCAAGGAGTGTCATTTTTTTATGGGTAGGAAATGAGAGCTTTAGACATGTCCCATCTAGTAAGTGCTGCGTTGACACGTACTGGACGTGAATATGGTGTCTGGCTTTGTGTGTGAATGTTTCCTTCTATTTGTTACCATTGTGATTGTGTCTCGTTTGTATGCTTGTGTGCTAGGCAGGTTTTTGGTGGATGTTTTTGGTGAACAGTTGTGTGTGCACGAAATGCAAGGAAACAATTCTTAATTCGAGATGGCTTCTTTAATTGACATTCTTGCAATTTCTCTTTATATTTTTTCACATGTCTGCTTTCTGCCATCACCTGGTCAGTTTTGTAAATATTTCTATCTTAGCACTTGCATGTTTAACATGGTGAGCTACACAGCAAGCTGATTGTCGTAGCTGTTGAATCGGTAGGCGTTTTGCTTCTACTACGAATTTACCTTGAACAGTTGAAGCTACACTGCATCATAGCATTAGTTAATGGGAAGTACTGTTGGCAGCTGCTTAATTGTATGTACTGCATTCCAGCAGGCTCTAGCGATGGGATTGTCTCAAGATACTGTGTCAGATATCATCTACTTTATCCGATAAAATTTATCGATTTGAAACTTCCCTTTGATTTTTGCTCAACGGCTATGGCATTTGTGGCTTTATCTCTAGATGCTAAGTACACGTACCATTAATGGTTTCACCTGTGGTGAGATGAGTTTGTGTGAATTTGTCCTACCCACTGTGAACTGTGTAAAGTCAAACGTGTTAGCGGACACCTCCATAGAACGGATAGCTGTGTATAAAGGACACTTTGTGTTTTCTTTGAGTAACAGTTATGCGGTGAAACCACCGTTATAGCATGGATGTTTGTCTGTTACAGACGGCTTTGATGTTTCCCTTAAGTGATCCATATAAATAGGTTTGAATGTAAATATTTGGTGGTTATCAAAATCATTCTGGTTTTTCCCTCGTTCAGATGACATTGCCTTCTACGGAAATGGTCAAGAAATACCAATGTTAAAGACATGCTTTCGTTCACCGGAGTGGTGAACGAAAGCATGTCGTTAACATTAGTTTTTCTCCCCTTTCAGGTTCAGTTTAAAACGAGTCTGTTGGTTCCATTTAAAAAGTTAATACACATGGTAGAAGCGAAGGTGTTATCATGTGTGTACCATGGCTGCTTCCAACGTTTTGACTGTGGCAATAGCTGTAATTTTACTTGGACTAGGTAGCCATGGACAGTACACGTATCAGGATTGTGTGGTAAGATTTCGCCTGGCGGTGTTTTTCTTACAATATCAATAACTCGCTGATGTAATCAGATACGAATCAATTCGCAGGCTAACCACTCTAATGTGAATAGTGACTGTGAGTTAACTGGTTGCAAGTTGTCACAAGGGGGTCCTCTATCACTTGGGTTTTACCTAATACATGTTAAAAGGAAGTCAAGTGTGTCATGCAGTTAGATAGAGTCCCGGATAACAGAGTGAACCGCTTTCTGCCTCACTACGTACAGTCAGCTGATCTGAACTTCCTGGAAAGCTGATACAGAAAGGCCAGATACCGTGCAAAACAGAACAACGTAAGGATGGAAGTGAACAAAATGCAGCCAGTTCATAGCATCTGGCAAGCACCCAACTTTGATGTGTGTGCGTGTGCGAATGCAAGTAGCAAGTCGATGCCAATTATGGATACAAGTCGGTCGAACATTACACGATGTAACACATAATGCGTAATGTATATATACACTAAAAAATTGTATATAGCAAAGAGGAATTGCGATTTAGTAATCGGGAAAACTAACTATTTAATATTTTCCAGTAAAGCGTGTGGTCAAGATCAGAGTAGAATCAGTTTGAAGAGAGACGAGAGCTTGTTAGGTATATAATGCGAGTGTACTTATATAACAGTAAAGGCAAGTTCTCACTTGTTCAAATTGGATATTTATCCGGAAGATATGCGGCTGCATATGTAATTATACGGTAGTAGCATTTGCACACAAACTTTTTCAAGTAGAATATAATCCTGTAAAGAATGTGATGTTTATTCATAAAATTTTGCTTGGAGAGTTGTGATAATAATGGTAACCATTTTTAATAAAAATGTTGACACACTAAGGGAAGATCTGCGTTGAGTGTATATCTTGGTACCCGAAGAAGAGTGCATTGCACTGACTAACAAACCACACTACAACAAAGAAGCTACCAAGTTGTGTAATATAGATATTTATTTTTTTATATATAGGTAGTAATTTATATGAATTTAATTACATATGTTATTAATACAAAAACCCACATGCTGGTTAACAGAGAGTAATAAATGACTACAAAACTATAAGTAAAGACCCATTTTTATGTGAGAATTAAACGTGTGTACATGGTCAGAAAAAAATTAATCATACACCCGTAATAGATATACCATATAAAATCAATACAAAGATTATAAGGTAAGGGATCTATTCAAGAGCTTGATCTATTGTAAATGGATCCGCAACATCAGGGCACAGAATTTATTCATTACATTTTGGCAACACACTAATACCTGAGTATCAAAGTATAGGTACCACCACTATATGAAAAGAACATAACACATTACAAAATTCAGGCCTGACGTTTATACAAAATAACGTTAAAATGTTGACACACTAAGGGAAGATCTGCGTTGAGTGTATATCTTGGTACCCGAAGAAGAGTGCATTAGACTGACTAACAAACCACACTACAACAAAGAAGCTACCAAGTTGTGTAATATAGATATTTATTTTTTTTATATATAGGTAGTAATTTATATGAATTTAATTACATATATTATTAATACAAAACCCCACATGCTGGTTAACAGAGAGTAATAAATGACTACAAAACTATAAGTAAAGACCCATTTTTATGTGAGAATTAAACGTGTGTACATGGTCAGAAAAAAATTAATCATACACCCGTAATATATATACCATATAAAATCAATACAAAGATTATAAGATAAGGGATCTATTGTAAATGGATCCGCAACATCAGGCCACAGAATTTATTCATTACATTTTGGCAACACACTAATACCTGAGTATCAAAGTATAGGTACCACCACTATATGAAAAGAACATCACACATTACAAAATTCAGGCCCGACGTTTGCTATCTGAGCATGCAAAATGGTTCTACAATGCAATCAGCCATAGCATTTCACAGGGAAGTACCATGTGTGCATATTGATGTTCATATTGTTTGTTCCCTATAATTTTCACTAACACGGCCACCTTCAATATCTTACAGAGCTGTTAGGGGTTGCATGTTTTTTTCTTTGAGAGTAACTCGTCAACAGACCTAGACCCGTCAAGATATCTAACCTCATCCGTGTTCACACACTAGCTGTGATATTTAATTTGCAGCCACTGCCGCCATGTGGCGCTGTCGTTCCTTCTCAAGTCTGACTGCGACTGCAGCAACCAGGCCTGCTCCTTTACCACTGCCATCATCAGCCCGAATAATCTTGCACTAGAAAAATAACAACATGATATAATAGTAAACATAATATATAAGTATAACTTACTAGTCTCAATATTATTAGAACAAATATCAACCTACTTTGATAATCATAATTATATTAACATGTATACACCTACTAAAACTTGCTAGGTACATGTTCACAGGTGTTATTCATTATTGTTTTCCTATCAACACAGAAATAGACACTAGATGATATCATGTTTTGTTCAATCATGTTCCATGCAACCTCTTCTATTGTAATGCGGGTTCTTCTTACAGATTGCTTTCACGTTGTTTTTTGGAAAACGCGATATTTTCAGAAATTTAGTAACCGTCTCTTTTATGAAGAATGCATTGAATGTACGTAGTAGCATACCTTGTATTTGGGTGCAAATTGCTCAATCTTCCTCATTATGAGTTGATGAAGTCGGGCGTGATGCTTGTACACGGACCCATCGACAGCAATGGTCACGTCAGGCTCTTGCATCCGATTGAGTAACACAGCCATGCCTAGTATAACCAAAAACACATGACTATTATCAATGTACAACTCCCTATTTTTTCCTATTTCGAAAGTAATCTATCCAAACTATCTAGCATTATCTGCATTGTGTCAAACTCAATCTTGGACTTTCCTTAACATCGCCCAATCCATTAATTCTACAAACTATACATGCAAAAAAAGCTCGACTATGACACGACCTGCCGATATGATTTTCAAGGCTTTATATTTTTATAAACCCACATGTAAACATGACCACATTGAGCACTCATTAGATATTGGTAGAATCGAACTTGCTGACTTGAAAATCAATGACAGTTGTGTCAGTCAAATGTGCGATTATATGGTAAGATTTATTACACATCCTTCCTTCTCGATTAATTTGAAATTGAAAATATAAACTATTTACACAACAGAGTATTTATCTAGCATATTTCACACGTACGTGTGCTAGATATGGTTGTGCATGCTTACAGGAGCCAACTAAGAATCCGCCTCTCTCTGAAACGAGAGCACAGACGTGCTTGATGATGGCGATGTCATCTTTACCACCATGCTCAAGCAGTTTCATCTCCTTCAGCAGATTGCGAGTGTTTTCATCGGTCTTCTCTCTATGTAAATGAGAAGAACACTTTCAGAGACAATGTTAAGAAAAAGGAAACTCTACAATCAGTTCAATGAGGAGTCTCTGCACTAAGTTTTATTCTAATTTTTACATTTTTCCTGTCCATCATCTATTATGGAAACATGGTCATCTAATTGCTCACTCAAATAAACAATTATGTAACCCAACATTGACACATAAACACTAATACACGTTATACCACATCTTTTATAAAAACATACACTAAAAACTTGCACCACCTTTTGAAATTTTAACAAGAAGTACTACTTATGAAGTATACACCGTTCATATAATGTGGACATGAGTGCTCTGTTGTTATCATCCGACCAACATGGCACTATGCACGTATCAGTCAGCACAATCACAACCACTGCCTCTAACACTAATCTTACACACTAAAGATGGTCAACCACTAGGAAAAAACTGACTGCCATTGTAGTTACCCATCGATGAAAGCAACGTGCTCTGTCTTTAGGCCCCATCGCTGATTAATTTCATTAGAGGATGTCCCGCCAAACAGTAGGCCCTCGGATATAAGCTTTAGCATGGTGAGGCGTACCACTTCTCCCAGATAGTGGCCCGAAAACATCTTCTCAAAGCTGCCCATAGTATATGTAGTAATGCATATAGAAAATGTTAAAAATCCATCTACGATACAGATGACTATACTAGTGTGTAGTCATGAACTTTGAAAATGTTCAACATGAAAAGGTGAAGATTTATGTTACAATGAGAAACAAGTGACACTTGGATTGATTCAATAACGCATGTGGTCACTGTACTTCTCCTGCTATCTGAGCTAACTTGAGTAACTATCTAGAGCAACATTGGCAAAAAATCATTTCAACAGTGTTTATTGTGACTATAAAGGTGCACATTGGAATTAACAATAGGAGGTTAAAAAAGCACTAAGTTCTCATATCGGTGCACATACGTAAACGAATGCACGTGGTTTGAAACTTGGTCCACTTCGAAGTCGTATTCAGTCTTGAAGAAATCCAGTACGCCATTGTCTCCGAATGCACCCATCTCTGTGTCAATAAGAACCTAGCACACGATGACATGGAATAGAGGCACATCGTGAAGATCACTGAAGTAGAACTGAAGACATCTCTTTCTACTCACAACCCCTGAAGAGAGAACTCGCTTGAATATGTTTTACGTAGGTTGTAATAACAGTTTTTATTACCGGTAACACTCTCAAACCACACTGAAGGCAGCACCATCCATGCAGTTATAGGTGTTGCAGTAGTCACCACGACAACAACCTGTTACTCGCTAACCTGCCGTGGTTCTTCATAATCACCGTCCCATTTCTCCACATTCTCAAGTTTCTCCACATAGCATGCATTAAATCCTGTACCTGGAAAGGACAACAACCACATTTTAATGCAAGTGATTTTCCATTCTTACTCCACTTCACCACTCACCCATACCAATGATCTTCTGAATACTATAGCCTAACACGCAAAACACAACATACAATGTGGTGAAGCAATCTTAGAAAATGCCAGATCAGGGTTATTCTTCATGCGTTTAATAACGTGCAAATATATTCTCTATATATAATTTTCCTCACCGAGAATTACTCCCACTCTGCACTTTTCATCAAGATATGCTCCAGCCATGAGTGTTCCCGTTGTATCATTGACAATAGCCACGACTTCTATATCCATACCCTGGAAACAATAGCAGCTGTCATTGCTTTTATATGAACAATTTCTACAGTTAGAAACTTTCCCAGTATTGGATTGGAAATCATCTCAATATAAATCAGGCACGTTACTACTACATAAACATTCAAATGATCCAAAAAGATTTTATTTTCCACAATTCAAAATAATTAATGTACCCAAAGGCCCACTGAATGACCTAGCTGTCTCAGTGAGAAAACAACCCTCCCCCACCCCACCCCTGGATATGGTTACTAAGTGAGGCAGGTTCACCCAGTTTGTATGTGGTTTTGCGCATGTGCACTACAAAATGTCAACTTAACAGCACTTTGTTTACGCATTCTCTTGTCTTAAGAATGTTCTATCACATTGGTGACTGGTTATAGAGCTACCTGCCAATCATACCGGGCAGATAGGTCGGTAGTTTTAGGTGCTTACCCCACGAATTTTAATAGCATTCTCCAAGTGTTTGACAGCATCCTCCCCCACACACCCAGAGCACTTAAAACTCTTTGTCCACGTTATCAGTATGAATGTCATATAAAACTGTCTAATGTGTGTGTTCTGATTACTTACAGCTTTTCGCTTATATTGCTGATAGAATTTTTGACTTCCTTGAAGAAAATAATCTCCATGGACAAAAGTTCCCACTTGGTATGTGCATGCATGCATAAATGTCCAGTGGTGGATGTCAGTGCTGTCGTTATTACCAGATCAACGGTTTATATTGAAAAATATTGATAATTCTGTGTGTCAGTTGTTGTGAGTGTGTTATTTTACGTGACTATCTGCATGTTTGTAGGTTTTACATTCTCGTTTCCGATGATACAGAAAAGTCTCAAGTGTGGAATTTACCAATAGTGGCTAAGGCAAAAGCAGACTTCTTCTACTATCTATTATAGCGGACTATGTAGAATTAACAGCGTCCAACTACCAACTCAGTTATCACAGGACACCAGAGATCAATCAACTGTGGGTTATCAACAACCAGACAGTTTACACTGCATGAAAAGAAGCAACTGATAGAAGGTGTAATGTTTATGCTTGTAACTGTAGCGTAAGGTTCCTATAAGCTGGGATTTGATGAGGAAG